AATGCATATTTCGCTGTCCAAAAGTTACTTGATTTTCCTCTGCACATAAAATTCATCAAAGTTTACTATGATAACGTCATGTCGACAAGCGCAGTGCAATCAGTGACTTGATTATACCTTGCTGTGAGGGATTTGACTAGCAACACTAACGAATGAAATGATAAATTTTATGTAGTGTATTACTCTTATATAGTTTTTTTTAATAGCAAGTTATTTAATTTTTTCAATGCATATTTCGCTGTCCAAAAGTTACTTGATTTTCCTCTGCACATAAAATTCATCAAAGTTTACTATGATAACGTCATGTCGACAAGCGCAGTGCAATCAGTGACTTGATTATACCTTGCTGTGAGGGATTTGACTAGCAACACTAACGAATGAAATGATAAATTTTATGTAGTGTATTACTCTTATATAGTTTTTTTTTAATAGCAAGTTATTTAATTTTTTCCTCAGACTATTAATTTGCCATTGGTACTCCTTCCTTTGGATATATATACATGGATCTCTCTAAATACACGAAAACTAATAAAACATGTTTTGAGCATTTGCTTCTATTTATCATAATAAAATGACATTTTCTATGATTCCACATTTTTTTTTATATTATTAATCTTGTTTTTCGGTCATAAAAAGTGCACGTATGTTTTGTCATTTATCAAGCAAGTTTATAAAATCTTATATTGTTTAAAACATTCTTTTTAAAAAGGCCGTTACCTTTTTTACCGCATGTTTTCTCTAAGACATTTGTAAGAAAATAGGGCACCTATATAAAAGAAATATTGTTATTTTTTTTGTCAAAATTCTACAGAATGCTGTGATGTTTTAATGTTAAGTATCTTAACAATGCCTTTCCAAGTTAATTTAGCATTTTCAGATATCATGTGACACTTAACATCGATATTATTTGGTGTCCCCCCAAATTTCAATCGGTCAGATTAATTGTAATATTTAAACTCTCCTTATTTATTCTGAGTTATAGTATTCATCTGAAAAGTAAACAGCATTAAAGTTAACTTTTTTCTACACATAAAATCATATCTTAAATATTAGTTCTTCAGCGATCTATGTAAAAAGCACAGTTTTCACACACGCTGTTATTTTCATTTTCTAGGCAGAGATCACAGCTTTCCGCTCAGTTTAGTGACCATTCTTACTTTAAAAGTGAATTTCTTTGCGAAGACAATAGGAAAATTCATAGGTTTTCTGTCTTTATGACCTCTTTCGTAGAACCATTCAACTGTAAAAAAAAATTAAATTAAATGCCTGAACATTTATTATTATATGCTGCAATACTGATTGAATGACCCTCGTACAACTTTTGAACAAATATTTAAAAATACTATAATAATTGAAAAAAAATTAGGATTGTTTAACATCAGTTTATATTCAGACGTCCTCAATAATATAATGATCTATGTGAACTAAGACAGCACAAAGATATGGTGATACCAAGGGTTAGAAAACATCAAATACATGTATGACTTCTGTCTTCTTCAGAAGTTGATCAATATAATTGATCCTATGAATCTCAGAATTTACGAAACATAAAATAGATAGATTAAGAAATTTTATCAATCATTTTACTGTTTTCCAGTTAATACACTGATGGTAATCTGAATATTTCTTTATGTGTCATACAGTGTACGTGATCAAGCATACTCATTTTTTTGAATTTTGATGAAATGGAATAACTCCGGTTTTTTTTCCTTATCATTGAATCATGAACTTTAAATAGTAACACAGAAGGCACGAGGAAGTTCCGCAGAATTTCCATGTATCAAGACAAAGTACAAAGAACATTTTATTAATCCTGTCTGAAATATGGATTCAAATACAGGATCTCTGATGTGAGTTTTTGTTTTATAATTATATCTTACAGTAATATTAAGCAAATTACAACTTTATGAATGAAGTATTATAATAACTTTATATCCTGTTAATAAATGATGTTCATTTTAGGTAAAATATGATGTAAACTTTATATCTATATAATAAATGGAATTCATTTTTAATGCTTATTATTTTTTTCTTAGTTTTAATTAACCTTCTGGGTTTTGGTTATTTAGTGAGTCAGCCATACAACATATGTCAGAGTCGGTGTTTGTGGGAATGTGTCACAAAGTGGGGACCTCACAACAAGTGGCCATGAGGAGAGATGCGATGGACATCACGGAGATTTTGACAAATCAAGTCTCTAGTGATTTATACTCTAGTATGACAAGTGGAAGCTACGGAGAAGGATTCGATAGGAAGGGATCAGACATAGACAGTATGATTTCGTCAAATTACGAGCGAGTCGTGTGGGATATATCTCAAATACGGTATTACAACACACAAAAATACACAATAATTCTCTGTGACTGTTCCTAAAGTCCTCCAGGATTCTCTTTACTGCAGCTTTTGATTCCACGGACCATAAGAACATCATCATACATTAAAGGAATAGTAGACTGTGTATCAATTTCAGCACTTATCCAAAGGAATGATAACCTTTTTATGTCTAGTTCTCTATACAGAGAAACCATGCGTTTATTAATAGTTCCTAGGTTTATCCCACATGGACCCTGCGCCAATGGAATTCTTTTTGAATTAGAATATGATCATGCCTACTGTTTTGCCTCTGACTTTTGGCCTCCATCTGCTGCCTCTTGGATAGACAGATGTCACTCATGGCCCGAGCCTCATGTTGTGGGCGATATAATCAGAAGTGGATGTCACTTTGTGGCAATTGGACATAAAGAGGGCATTCATGAAGACAAAGAATGGAGAATTTCTTTCTCACGGGCAGAACAAATACTTGTGTATTCAATGAACCACACTCAGTTCTTAACGTATGGATTGCTGAAATTGATTTTAAAGGACGTCATTAACAATGGATTAGGAGAAGAAGATAAACTACTATGTTCCTACCACATAAAGACAGCCGTTTTCTGGGTGATTCAACAAAATACCATATCTCAATGGTGTCCACAAAAGCTCCTGTTGTGTTTTTGGGAGTGCTTCAAACTGATCCTTAAATGGGTCTATGAAGGGGTCTGCCCTAACTTTTTCATCCCTCAAAACAACATGTTTCTGAGAGGAATTCATGGTTGTAAGCAAACTCAATTGTTCATTAGGCTACATACGTTGTATGAGAAGGGCTTGATATCACTGATACACAGTCCCTCCATCTGGCCATATGCTCTAAAAGTCCTTTATAACCCAAGACTCTCCATTTGTACAGATGAAGGCAACTTGTTTACTGAGTATGATTGTGATTTTACCCTATTTAAATGCATATCTAGGCAAGGTGTACCAGGAATAGAAAACCTGAATCAGTGTATGAAATGCCTACAAGCTGTAGAACAGTTGATAAATACATCCTTGACACCATATCATGTTGTCACCTTACAGAAACACACAACCTTCATCCTTCAAGAAATTGTTTTTATATTAAACAACATGTATATCAAAACCTGTGGAAACAAATTGATGTATATTGCTGACAGAATGTCCCATCGCATACTGAAATTAACAGCTAAGTTTGGTTACACTTATGATATTGTGTTTATGGCCATGTTTTACTACAAAACAATGAGATTTGTGGACACATTATTTGTTATAGAAATGACAAAAGTCTTACAGTCATATAAAGCAAATCTATCTAGTACTACAGATATGTACACCGAAGTTTTTAGAGGGCGGTCTTTGACTTCAAAAATGAGATTCTTTACAAGTAGTAATATCTACCTTAACAATAGAATCTGCTACATCGATGAATTATTGCCTGAACAGCTGTCTAGTTTACAGGAGAGACAGTGTATGATGGCTATCCCTAGATTCGTACTATTGCATATGCTGGAAATCTTGTGCTACCGTGATGTCGATACAACAAAAAAACAAACAGCGCTGTGTAATCTCCAGCATCTAGTCCACCATCCTCGGAAGAATTTCATACAGGAAGGTGAAGAAGACATGTCATGGCAGATCCTTGGAATCTGTTACCAGGTCACAGGGAATCCACAAGCGGCTCTTTACGCGTATCAACAGTCACTTTCAAAAGTACCATTTAATGAAATAGAAAATGCTACATTTTTAAGAATACAGAATATCCTTCAGTGATAATGAAGATGAAGTTTAGATGTTGTTTATGATAGAATTTTTAAAAAAAGTATAAAAATACAAATTAAGGATTTAGGATCAGGAACAAATATTAGTAGCTACATGTAAACAGGTTTCAACTTTGTTAACATGAGTTGAGATACATGTACAAGTATATATATTTATTTGATTTTTGTTGATAACGAGAATTGATTCTCAATTTAAAGATTGTACACGTTGAAAAAAGTATTAAATTTATGCAATAGTTTAGGCAGATTTGCTTTTGAGTAATGTATTTACTATTTATTGAAGTTATCACAGCACAATTATCAATCGAGTCGCAAGCGTAGCACAGTGGTTAGAGTGTCTGCTCAAGAGTAACGAAGTAAGGAGTTGATTCTTATGTCGCGAGTTCGAATCCCACTGTAGGACATTGAGATTGGTCCTTCGGATGAGATCGTAAAAACCGAGGTCCTGTCTCGCAGTAGGTCAGTGCCTACACGATAAAGATCCCTCCCTGTTCAATTGCCTAGAGTTCCGAGTGTAGACACAGGATTTGCAGCTCTTCACCGGCAAGTGGTGGGGTCTCCATATGAGTGAAAGATTCTCGAGAAAGGCTTTAAACAAAATACAATCAATTAATTAATGTATCAATCGAACACGTTTACCCGGTGTTTGTTATTAGGACTGTCGATCTGACTGGTTACTTTAAATATAGAATACCTGTTCTATAGGTATTTTTATAATACACGCATATTTTATTAATTGTAAAAATTTTCGGTTCGTTCTCACTGCAGTCAATCGTTTCCCAACCCACCAGTTTTCACAAATATATATACAGTCAAACTTGTTTTAAGAGGCCACCTTTGGGAAGACTGGAAACTGGCCACTTAAGACAGGTGGCCTCTTATTCCAGTTTGCCCTCGAAAAGGACATTTGGTCAATAAATAAACAACATTAAGCACTACAGTTTAATTAATTAATCATAATTAAACAGTTCAATTTCACAAAAGCTTTTTATGTGTATATATAATAATTAAAGCTAATTTAAAAAGAATATTTAAGAATTCGAAATGTTTAAGGTTTTGTGCATGTTTCTGTTCCTACATACATTATTATTAATTAAACATCTTGCATTCGTTAAGTTTTGTTATATTGAATTATTAAAAAAAATCTTTTAATTTTAATTTGAAGGAATACATACAGTGCCTGATTATTATCCTTTTTATAGAAAAAATACACAAAAATACAGTTTGATGTTAAATAAAATAAATCATAGGAATTTAAGTAAAAAAAAATATGTCAATAAAAATTTCACTTACATAGATAGTCAGCAGTGTAACCCCCCCCCCCCCCCCTTCCCAACTTAATCAATCGGTATTAACTTACTTGCTGAAGTTTAAAAAGTCTGATTAATTTTATTGTTTATAAAGCTGTCAGAATTTCTATATAACATACACAGACACACAAATAAAATTAACCAATTGACCAGAGATATGTATTTACGCAGTTGAAAATCATTCCATAACACAGGTGTCAAATGCAGTAGAGCGTGACTAATCCCTATCGATCCTCTCTTGATAGTGAAATTCACGAGATAATCATGCCATATGAAGCACTTTGTTTTTACAAGAGTAGCAATTAGGGCTTCTACATGGAATCAAAATCTAAAAGGTGTGAAACGGCCGCTTATTACAGTGTCAATAAGGCTGTTGGGGGAGGATTTGAGTGGCCGCTGGCCGCGTTACACAGGTGGCCGTTTATTCCACTTAAAATATATAGTAAAAATCATCGGGGGGAACTGAAAGTGGCCGCTGACTACAAGTGGCCGTTGATTTCGGGTGGCCGCTAAGACAAGTTTGACTGTATTTGTATTGATTTACACGTGTGTTTTTTGTCTTCGTTGAAATAAAAGAGTCGATGGAAAGAAAAGTAAAATTTTGTAAATTGTATAAATAACCTACGCTTGCAAGAGCGTTTTGTAGTTATACACGTGTTATTTATTTTATAAATCATTTACGTTCGTGTTATAGAAACACAGTACCTGTACTATGGAGATAAAGAACAGTATTTAAGATCAAAGTCCCTTTAAATAATACAAATTGGGAGCAGAGCAAGTACAGACCTGTTAAAACATAAGAGGTGGAAAAGGTGCAAGTGACATGGAGGAGTGAGCATTTCCTGTCGACTTGTAACACCCACTCTGAGCTCCTGTCGTGATCGGGAAAAACCTATTAAAACAATGCCTTTAGAATTAATATACTTTTCTAAAAAAAAAAGCAGATCTTTGTTAGGGTGGGAAATTCTGATGGTCTCTGAACAATTTAGAAGCAAAGCAAAGATCTACTTTTACTCAGATTGAGAGATGTTTGATATTCTTGTTTCATGAACTTGTCTGTCAATAGCTTGCTTCGTTTAAGAATTTTGTTCACACGCAGAGAATGCTCTTGCGTATCAAATCAACTGAGACACATAAACCCCATATGTTGTTCATAAGGATATATTGCAACATAAATAAGGGCAGTTGATGATTAAAAAGTTGAAGTCTTTACGTATTTCATAAAGCTTTGTCGTTAGGTAACTATTTATAACTTTTTCTAATGAAATATTCATAAATGAAAGAGCTGCGTCAGACTCTGTGTTTTTTTTTAATTTCAAGCTCACTTAGATATATTGAATCAACTTATGAATGGAAGTAACTGTGTTATATAAAAGTATATCGACGACGTATTGTCAATTAACAATCACTGTAATTTCCATTCTTATGTCAATACGATATATTCTGGTGACCTTGAGATAACAGATACCACAGAAGCTGACATTCCTGTTTTATACCTGGATATTTTACCTGAAAAAGACTTTAATGTGTAGCAACTGTTCCTTCGCCATGGTGGTGAAGGGCTTCAAATTTTGACCTTTACTCGGCACTCAGGGCCATTGAACAGTGATGGATCTTTATCGCCGCTGACACGGGGCCTCGGTTTTTAAGGTCTCATCCGAAGGAACCGCAACTTTCACTTCAAAGTGCGGAGCACATGGCGAAGGAACAGTTGCTACCCATTTTTTATCTACTTAGGTCAGTTGCGACCGAGATTCGAACTCACGACCTCCCGATCACGGAGCGAGCGCTCAACCAACTGAGCTGCCGAGAACGGTTAATTAATAGATATATATTGAGAAAATTTTAATTTGCTTTTCATTACTTATTGCATAAAAATAAATATGCTAGAAGCAAAACAACAGCACTTCATTGTATATGACTTGAGTGTAGATAATGATGTTTATGAGTAATCAGTTTCATTCAAAGTTATTAAGACAAATAATGACTCGGTAACAAATAAGTATTCCAAAGTTTTCTATTTGTTGCTGAAATAAAATTCTCTATAGTTTCTAAATAAACATAACATTCCTTTACAATTAACAACCTTAATTTGAAAAAAAAAATTGCACAACAGTCAAAATTCAAAATCGTCTATCATGCATCAACTTGCTAAATCAAATTCTCTACCATCCTCAATTCTAGCCAAAATCAGGCATGTGAGATCTTCTGATTACATGCAATTAAATATTACACAAAAGTATCTATGGAAACAACTTCATCCACTTAACTTTTAAGTATTATCTCGTATATATTAGTTTGCAGTTTCACATTATACGTGTACATAAAAATATCTAGGAAAATTGCCATGATTTCTTTGCATGTATGTAGAATGAAACAAAATTTTCATCTTATTCTCACTTAAATTTTAAGAGAGCTCTTTGTACTTTACAATATCACATAAAGATTCACATGTACATGAAATAAAAATACGTTGTGCCGTTTTTCTTTAGTTTCGCACTCCAAATATCATCGATCAGATCCCATTAATATTCTTTTTTTTATATTTCATAAAGATGAATGCAGAAAATGCAATTTTTTAACTTCCTGCTGCAAAAATTTCTTGAAAATTGCTTGCTTACCCCAAAGAAGAAATCATCCAACAAAGTGTTTTATTGAGTGTTCCACGTGTAGATAGTTTGAAACGTTCTAAGTCACTATTGTAACCACAAAGATTCTTAGCAACACAGCGGACCGGATATATAGAGAAATAGTCAAAGTCTACTTTCAAGACGTCAAACATCTTAGAGGGCTAAACTCTTGTAAAGTATAGGTCTCAAAGAAATATAATTGTTTATTGTGTGGTTTTAAATGAATGTAAAATTTAAATACATGTATCAAACCTTATAGTATTTCATAGATAAAAAGGATTGATGTTAAACTTTTTTCATAACTTTATTACATACAATAAAAGTTATTTGCTACGATTAAATTATTTTGATAGTATACCGATGAATAACATATTTTTATAAAAATGATTTAACACAGAACATATTTTAAAATTCAAAGGAAGAAAAAAGGTTCAAACTCATTGAATCTTTACTCTAGAAAATCCGAAGTGAAAATGTCCAGGAAACAGATATTAACTACCGTAACACCAGTTTCAAAACAAACACATCGATCATGTGCTGACCCCACCGATTTGAAACTGTTATCTCTGGGATGTATGGGATTGTGCCCTCCTCCCTGTTATTAAAGAATGGAACTACGTGTAATGCAGCACTGTGTTTTGTAAATAGAACCAAAATAAGTTGCACCTCTGAAAACATATATGTTAAATCATTAGGTTATTCTTATATAGTTTTTTCCCAATAAATTTTGTGTCCGTGTACGTTTTGGTTTTTGAGACTTCAGATAAGAAAAAAAAAACAGAATAAGGAGTTCTTGAAATTCATTCTTGTTTAAAACTTTTAATTCTGATTTTTTCTTTATACAGGTAACTCTCGATACCTTGAAGTCCGCGGGACCGAGGAAAAACTTCGAGGATCAAGAGTTCGAGTTTTCAAGAGTCCGGAATTTTCCGGGTTTGTTTGACAGGTTTTAAAATTAGTCTTACCGGATGTAATGATTTTCATGCAGTGCTAACCTTTCACACGTGGTTTTTATAAAACAACGATATGTTTTCGTTTTTTAGATGAATGTT